ATATGTCATGGTTATTAATTATCAGTACAAACAAAAAGTAATGATAAAAACGTACTTACCTGTAAGAAATCGGTGTAACAGGACATTACATCGCTTTTACAGGTCACGTTTGGGCAAAGGCTAGTAGAGAAACCCGGTCTGCAAAGTATACAAGAAAGAAATTGTGCAATTCAGTTAAGTATTTTATCAATTTAAATACATTTCATTAAAGCACTGCGCCATACAGATGTCGACCTTGACATTGACTTTGGCTCTCTCAAGTATCCTTCTCTTTTGTTTCAGCTGTTTCCTTAACCTTTCAGGGCTCCGTATGTATCGCTTAGAGAAACTAAACTAACACACTTTGTTCTATTTCGGTTGTAGTAAAAACAGTGTTGTTAACAGTAATCATAATCAAGAAGAGTTTGCAGTAGTAATAAGCATCGGTGACAGTTGAAAACAGCCTCTTCCAAAATCTCCCTAGCACTAAGTTTTAAAGTGAAAGGCAAAGATAATAAGAAAGAAACACGTGGGCTAAATATACAAAAATTATATCTTTGTTCTTTAAGCATAACTTTATAAAATGTAAGTATGAATATATTGGATATAATCAGTGGTTGGCAAATTTGTAGTCGAGTGGAATTAGAATTATTTGCTAAGAATAGAAATTACAGTGAAGTAGAATTACAATTATCTTTATGTTTCTAACAATCATGGGGCGCCTGAGTTTAAATCCCACTCAAACCTATTGGTCTTCGATGTAAAATGCGCATCTATAGAGCAACTTTTTAATGCCAATACTCTCACAAAGTACTCAATGATCTTTAATTATATATTGTACATTATTTACTGAAGACAACTAAATTACTGTTAGTCGCCCCTCAGTGGCACAGCGGTATGTCTCCAGACTTACAACGCTAGAAACCGGGTTTCGATACCCGTGGTGGGCAGAGCACAGACAGCCCATTGTGTAGCTTTGTGCTTAACTACAAACAACAATACTGTTAGTCTTCACTTTGATAAAGCCATTGTTGATTATTTATTTGCTGCCACTGATTTAGAATAAAGGGAAAGCGCAACAAGCGAGAAACAACACAGAAGTAATGGCGCAGGGCGCTCATGGATGAACTGTACCTGTTGGAAGTGCTGGAGCAGGGCGCTCATGGATGAACTTTAACTGTTGGAAGTACTGGAGCAGGGCGCTCATGGATGAACTTTACCTGTTGGAAGTGCTGGAGCAAGTACTGAAACGCCTTGTGCCATGCACTTCAGCAGTTAAAACGATTTTGTATTGTAGATTTTTTGATACTATAGTTACGTAGTATATTTATACTTTGTAAAATATTTTGATGTACAACGTTTAAAACATGTTTTAATTAATAAACACAAATTTATTAATTGTGTCCTTACTTTATTTTATACTTTACTCTCAATATCAGATTTGTATGCCTCATTTGGTGTTTGGAAACGACTGTATAAAAAATGCCCTCCACAGTGGAAAAATGACCCTTAAAATTCTGAACTGTCCAATCACTTGTTTTCAAAATCTTCGATCCACCCCTACATTGGCTATCATCACAAACCCATACACAGGCCTATGCTCTCTTTTCCAGTGTGAATCAGTTTCTGCAAACGTCCCACAAAATATTTATCATATCGAACATTAAAGAAATACTCTGTAATGGTAGTACCAGAGTTTACATCTGGGCCACTTCACACTATAAAATCTAATTATGTAACCCACAAAATTCACTGATCCAGTTTTTAAAGAATGTCCAGTCTTGACACTGCGCATTACGTTTTTTGACTTACTGTCACTACAGATCCAGCTCAGTATATAATGATCTATATACTATAGTAGAAAACATGCTGTACATTAAACCCACGCTACAAAATATAAAGAAAATATAAATTTTCAGTTGGAATTCTTAAGTTTGCACCCTGATATATTTATTATGATATAAGAACCAAGATAAAACTTATAATGGTGGTAAATATTTTATCAATACACTCCTTACTTTAACCCCTCTCTTTTGAATTTGCTATCAAATAAAGTAAATAGTTCTACTTTTTTAGTTATTTACATTTGTAGTTCAGGGCAGTATTTAATTAAAGATTGCCCACGAGTTCTATTAGACTGCCCCATTACAGCAAATCCAGTATTTCCTGTCTCAAAGTGATGTACAGATCTATGGCGTGTTCTGTGTTATCTGGCGGATGAAGCCCACGATCATTCATCAACAGGTAGTAAAGTTCAAATACTGTTTTGTCACATGGATAGTTTCTTGTTCGACACTCTTCCTCACAATTTGCAATATCTTCCATATTACAAGGACACAGTTTATCTTCAGCACCGTACAGGTAAAGAAATGTGTACATAATGAGGGGCCAGCCATGAGGTGCGCTGTCGTTTCTCTGGGTTCTAATACGATGAGTGTTCCAAATATGAGACACAATTGATAAAAAAAACACCATACTGTCAATAACTTTTATAATTTTGCATCATAAAACGGGACGTATTTTCGAAGCAATGAACTCCTGTTTTTGAAAATGGAAATTTGAAACATAAGTACTGTTTGTTTGCAACAAAGCTACACAATGGGCCACCACGGGTATCGAAACCCGGATTCTAGCGTTGTAGGTCCGCAGACGTGCCACTGGGGGGCTATAAGTACTGTAAATGAGAAAGAAGAAATATTGCAAGTGGTTAAGATAACATGGATTAAACTACATAGTTGTGTGGTTTAATTTTGTACAATTACAAAAAAAATTATTTCTTCCTAGAATTAGAGTTAATTAATTACTGGAGGTAATGCTTGGAAAATATGGCCCAATAAACTTTTAAGTTATTATTCACAAGAAGTCTATTTCAATATAAAGTACGGTATTCTTATGGACATATAATATTTTATGTGTAATAACACCAACATGACTTCTTGGTGTTTAGTAAGAAACTTCAAATTGACGATCAAGCAACTGCAATTAAACTAACGTGAAAGCTAATTATGACATAAATATACCAACTCATTGTTATTCAGAAAATATTCCCTAAAACCAGACGCATGCATTCTACGATTTATGCATTTAAAACTTAACTACTATAAAACCTTCAATACAGTCGTTTGTAATATGACAGACATTTGCGTGTGATCGTTATGAATGAATAGATACATTAATTCTTCAAAAAATTCGTAGTAAAAGGGAGAATTCCCTCGACAAATATACGAGCAGACCATTTTTAAGTAGGGGTTTAATTTGAGGTGGATTTTTATGCCATTGCATTTGTGTCTTGTGTCTTACAATGCATACATTAACAACGTTTACATTACATTGCAATTATTATTAGTATATATTTTCAGACTGTTATTTACTTACAATTGAATTAATTAATGCTCTTAAGTCAGGCATATTTAAATAACTAACCTGCAGTAACTTCATGAAGCAAAACTGGACAAGAGCCTTCTCTATGAAATCCCCTGAGAAATGGTCTTGTTCCTTCGGAGTTTGGAAAAGGTTCATCCTGAGTTATACGTTGTCCTTCCTCAGAAAACCCCAAAAGCTTTCTATTCTATGATTATAATTACTTGAACTGGCATTACTAGCAAAACGATCGGTGGCATCTCGTCTGAGAAACTTCATCTTCTGCTCTACATATACATTTGCCGTTTCACCGTCTGCACTCACCCTTTTTGGACAGACAACTCTTGCCTTTACAGCCGCTATCAAATAAGCAGATATTACTCTTAGATCACTGTTAATACATAGCCACTCTACAATAGGTGAAAGTCCATCCATTTATGTAGAGGCCATACATATGAATTATCATCTCGTACGTACGAGATGAGACTTTTTTTTTTCCAATTGAGGTTCAGAGTTTCCGTAAATAAATAACACAGTGTTTTTATTTGGTAGTTATTATTATTTTAAAGATACAGTATTTATACTTATATCTAAGCCTTTCTCTATAATAGTTTCTCTTAACAAAGGATCCGGATTTGATTGCATTAATGATAACAGGCAGGAGTTGATGTTATTACAGTATTTAGTGTTGAATGATCATTGAAAATGGAGAGGCTTTCTTTAATAAAGAGTTCGTAATCTGTGGTTCCGGAGTCGAGCATTTTAAAGTTTTATAGAAGCATAGGGTGGTTGTTATTCTCACTGTGCAATCAGATACAAGACTCTGTTGGATTAGTTAGCTTATATCCGCTTCTAGCTGAAATTCCCATGTGCTCTTGTGCAAGTATTTGTAGGTGACATGTACTTTTACCAATATAAGTAACTTTACAGCTACCACAAGTGTATTTATATACGACCCACAACCGCATAGGAATGGATAGAGCGTCTTTGGTTTTTAACATATGTTTAATTCTAAATGTTGACGTAAATGCTAAACGTAGCGTAATTTGTGGATAATTAGTTTTGATTATTTTTTTGATTTAATATTTGAGTTTAAAACTTTGTTTGCCAATGAAAGAAATGATAAGAACTAGTGGATATTTTGAGACGGTGTGTAACTTTTTGGTAGGTTCTAGTTTATTTGTCAAAAAGTTTCGCCTGATAGACTGTAATAAATCAAGGGGTTAACCATTACTTTGTAATACGTTATGGATTTTTGAAATTTCTGAGTGAAGACAGAAGTAGTCAGAACAAATATTATAGGCTCTGTTTGGAAGATTTAGAACAAGATTATGATTGAAAGATTCTGGTATAAAACTGTCGAAATAAGTGTATAAGCCAGTAAATGTTTTAATACAGTAAATAGATGTGGCAAAGAGATTGTTTATTTGAACGTCTGAAAAACTAAGTTATTGTTTTCTTCCATCTCACATGTAAAGTTTATACATGAATGTTGTGAGTTTAGGTATTGTTAAAACTTCTTGGTGTGATCAGTGTTGTGAAAGAGTAGAAAAGCATCATCAACGTACCTTCTATATAATACTGGTTTCTAATAAAGGAGGTAATCATCCAGCCATTGACGTTCGTAATAACATAGAAAAATATTTGTAAGGGTCGGACATAGAGGTGATCCCATCGCCAGTCCGTCTATCTGGTCATAAAGATGACCATTAAAAACGAAGTGATTTCCTTGAGAGTCAATTTAAGAAGCTGTTCGAATTTCTGTTGGTTAAAGTTAGAGTGCAGGGCATTTTTGTTAGGGAATAACAGTTGAATAATTATTTCATTTGTTCCTCACGTGGGATTAAACATGTGTATGCCGCACGTTTTATCGTACATTCCAGTATATTACTAACGTTTAAGCCTGTTTTCTCTAAACTTCCAACTCGTTCAATGCTAATGTTGTTCTTTGTAGTTCGAATATTATGAACAAACTTCTTTTTGAGATATTAACGTAGATGATGGAATTTAAGGAAATTCCGAAACATTCGTATTAAAGATGTTTTGGTATTAGCGTGTTTTTAATATTTATTATAAAACTCCGTTTCCCACCTGATGAATCAGTAGCATAGATTTGGATATTATGTAATACAACATTTGTATGTTATTACTTCACAAATATAATATGATTAACCTACAGTCGAGTTTAACAAAAAGTTTGTAAATGTGGTCTTACCCAAGCAAATCTAAAAATAAGTATACTTTGAGAAAAAGGGTGGAAATAAATGAGAAAGTTATTGATAATATAAACGTTATTTAGTTTTATATTTGAATACAATGAAAAATTAAACCATTTTTACTGATGAGTTTAATTATAGCCCTAATTATTTCAATAAATTAAAATAGAAAAGTTTTTGCACTTATAAAACAGTAGTTCTGGCTGTTTTTACAACTGACTAATCTCTGTGCCCCCTAGCGGTATGTACCGGACTTATATCGCAAAAACCGGGCTTCGATACCCGTGGTGGACAGAGCATGAATAATCCATTATGTAGCTTTTTACTTAACTACAAACAAACTAACTAATATTTGTAGAGGTGTGATTGGTTCACTGCCCCTTAAGTAACAAAGTGAAGGCGGAATGCTAATAACAGCCATGTATAACAAAATTCCACACTGATATACTAATATATAGAAGCTCAAAACTATGTCACTAGAAAGTGAAACTATAGTTGCGAAATTTTAGTGAAAGAAGTACAACACAATGAACTAATTTTTTAAATTCTTCTTTACAGCCGTGGCAAAGGGCGCTTTTACGATGAAACCCGACAAAGGAATGTTCCCCAGTAGCTCCCCACAACAAACCGGTTTATCTCAGAGATTCACATATCGCCGTTCCACCTCATCGGCCACTTCTTCTACCCAAACAGATAGTCAAGGCCAGGTTGGTGGGTGGATGGAACTCGAGAAAACATCTGACTTCACGCCCTTGCTAAACATACTTTGCCAGTCCACAGTTCTTCCTGTCTCCCCGCCAACTCCCCCAGCTCCAGTTCTTGGAGCACCTTCTCCTGCCTCTTCGCACTTCTCAACCTCGTCCAGCTCAAGCACGTTTGAAACTACTGAAACAATGATCCAAGAACATTTCTTCGTCAGCTCTCCAAACCAACAGGAACTGCTACAATTTGATTCTGGTGGTGAAGGATTCACAATGAGGCAATCTCCAGAGTACAGCAGCTGCACTGGTTCGGAGAAGAATGTTGCAGCTATAGTGGCAGCCACAGATGGAATGTCCCCACAGACTATGTTGTTCCATCAAGGAATGGAATTATCGTCATCGTCAGGACAGAAATACCACTGGGGCACCATAGGTTTTAACATGCATGATTACGGAACTTTTCAAAGTAAAATGAACTCTTCAACTGTAGTCCCGAAGCAAGAACTGATCCCTGTATATCGCATTCTTTCCGGACATGGACTCGCCGAATACAACCAATCAACTAGTAAAGGACATGAGATCCTCAACCAGGCTTATGAAGCTAGCTCAGTGCCTTTCAAGCTGATTCCTTTAAAGCAACGCAAGTACCCCAATAGGCCTAGTAAGACGCCAGTCCATGAACGGCCCTACGCCTGTCCCATAGATGCTTGTGACCGGCGGTTCTCTCGCAGTGATGAGCTGAATCGTCACATTCGGATCCATACTGGTCTAAGACCGTTCCAGTGCAGAATTTGCGTGAGGTCATTCAGTAGAAGTGATCACTTGACCACCCACATCCGCACACATACGGGTGAGAAACCATTTTCCTGTGATATGTGCAGCCGCAGGTTTGCTCGAAGTGACGAAAAGAAGAGACATACCAAGGTTCACCTGAAACTGAAGCGACCGGTGACTCAGGATTAAGTTATCGAAGGCGCGGGTCCAAGATACAATATACCTCTTTCTCAGGATGACCTTTCCGCAACTCTTATTTTAAAAAACTCATTCTATCCATCAGAAACAGTGTCAGTGACTACTGCTTCCTTAAAGAGAGAGAGAGAGCTTAACAAGGGTCAGTCATTCAGTCGTACAGTACAACATAGCTTTGATAATGCCACCACCTGTGCCTCGAACCTATTCTTTGCGACCAAATTTTATGACTTTTTGAAAGTGTTGAATATTGGTACCGTTAAACATTAGACGAACATAAAATGTTTCTGATACAGTTGCTTTTACACTTGTTGTCTTAAATGAAAATTGGGTAGACATACGTTTATTATTGTGAACAAATTGTTTTCGTTTTTATTTTATATATTATCTATAGTATATATAAAATAGCATTATTGTCAACCATAAATAAAGCTTTGTAATCCACCGCGGGAACGCTCCACCGTTTTACCGAATACAAAGTTGACCTATACCAAGTTAAGCCTAGTCTATTGTTAGCAAGCAGACACCCGCAAAACATTTGCGATCGAATTAGGATCTTTATTACAATAGTACTTTTTAAATATATAATTTCCAGAATGATACAAATAAATTCTAATAGCAGACACTGAAATCTATAAGTCCACATGTCTTAAGCCTAACATTACGTAAGCCTTTAAATACGGTCTATGTTAGATATAGATAACACTAAATTGTTACGTTTTTCGCTTTAGACTTAGTTTAGTTTAGTTAGACGCAAAATTTTACCATACCTTGTACTATCAATAAATAAACTTATAGTGTTATTGATCGACTTAACGATAGACCTTTTTAAAAACTTTAAGCTTTTAATATGTTATTGTGCAAAATGTCTACTAAAGTAAAGGATATTTCAAATTTTTACATGCGGAGGAATGAAATGCGCATTTAGATTGTGAAGTGCGCATGCATTTTCAGTACAGACAGAAAGTGTCGTTATTTAATTTTTTAGTGCATATTGGTGTATAGAAGACACATTAATGCTATAAATAAACGACCTTATAACACCAAAATGTTGTTTTTATTTAATTAGACACTCAATGTTTCGCTTTACAGCTTCTTCAGGAGCGTCCACTAAAGTGTTAAAAGGTCTTTTATTTATAGTATTAATATAGTTTCATGTTTACGTTCACTCAGGAGTATCTCCAAAGTTACACTGTTGAAAGTATTTATTCCAAAACTGTGGAATAAATTTTCGTTATTGTGTTAACTATAGTGTAAATACCGTATTTCTTGAAGTCAAAATAATTAGTTACAATTTCTTATATTATAGAATATTTTTATGTGCATAAGTGAGTTTCTCTTGTCTATAAGCGCAGTCATAAATGTACGTGACTTAAATTTATGTTAATACAATAAAATATTTTATTGTATATAATATCTATCTGCGAATGTCTAGCTTTTCAAATTTGCTACACTCTTCCAAGATTTCAGTAAATAATTTTGTCATATACCAAATGCCTTTCTAAAATTTGGAAGTGTTTATCTTAAAAACAAAGAAAAAAATCTCGCCTAATGAGGTGCAATGAACCTAAAACTTGATCATGGGAAAAATTAGAGACGACCCTTAGCAACTTTGGTATTTTGTTTTCTCCAACACACATTTGTTGTAGACAGAATAGTTATGCTATAGCCATCTTCAGTGTTAAACATGATATGTTTTATTTATACAGAATTGCGTTAAATATTTTTTTTTTCCATTTTTATAAACAGGCATTAGTCTTTTAGAAGTTGTTTTGAAATTATAATAACATGAATAAAATTATTTTTGTTCGATTTCATGTTTGAAAATGCCATACGTGAAATTTGTAATAAGATTTCCGTTTGCTTTATTTTTTTTTCTGTGATATTTAAAGTATTATTAATGAATGCCATTTTCCTTGACACCTTTTAGGTTTAAGTTCCATACAAAAGCTTTCATCAAATATTTATTTCGGCTCTTTTGAAAATGTATCAGCTTTAGATATTAGTCTTGTCAAACTTTACGTGCCTGTTTCATTGTATTTTATTGGTATATCTCTATTTAAATATGTGACTTTTTCTCAAATCCATAAACGTCTTTGTTATGTGGTGAATTGTTATTTGATTTCCAAGATGGTTCAATCTCAAAATATGTTTGGAGGAAAACTGTATATTTTCGCAAGTTCTTATTAAAATGATCTCTAATCTTGAGAAATTATAAAAGTCTGGAGTTTTATTACTTTTAAATATTTTATCTGTGATTATGGGATTTGTAGAACCTCCTTAGGTTTTATAAAGAATTTATCAAATTTGCAAGAATAAAATGTTAATCAAACGTACAAAAATGATTATTGTTCTTAAATTTGTAGCAATAAAGATTTTCATACATCAGTAGCAATGAAGCTGGTCTAAAATTTGTGTAATTTAATAAACAAGTTAAGTGTATGTTCGAAAGCTTAGGACGCATAAAACTTTTTTGTCGTTTCTTTGATCAGTCGTTAATCATGTCGAATCGATAACAACAAATTTTATTTTTAAATCTTTGACAATAATGTTTTCTTCAATTTAAATAACTATTTTTTCGCATGTCTACGCAGCAAAAATTGTTAATGATATTTCGAGAAACAAAAGCTTTGCACAACAGACTGATAATCTTAAAATGAATATCTTTTAACAATTCACATCTTATACTTAAAATATGAAACCTTATTGCAAAACTGGAAATAAATGTACCTCCCCCCCACACACCAAAATAAAAAAAAAAATCCTAAGTTATCGGAAAACTGTAATTTGCAGATAACTGAATTATTCTTATATTGAGCTCTTACAGAGAGGGTATTGAAATATACAAACAATAGAAAAATACATCTATATAAATATAATAGTATTGTTTGTTGTCTATTGTATGTCCATGAACAACTTCGCAGGATGTGTATGGATCTTGACCAAAACTGATATAGAGATTCGTTAAATCCATGCGGGGGTACAATTAAAATATTCAGTTTTGCGGTTTTTATGGGCATTTTTGCGGCTTTTACCACTACTTCGCCCCCGAAGATGGATATTCACCAAATTTGGTATGTAGGTTCATTGTGTCCATATGAGATACATATAAATTTTCAGTTTTGCATTTTGCGGGTTTTATAGGCGTTTTTGTGTTGTTGTTTTTTTACCACTACCTCACCTCCTGTGGATGGATCTTAACCAAATTTGGTTTGGAGGTTCATTGGGAGAAACATACAAATTTCCAGTTTCACATTGTGTGTTGTACAGTTTTTATGGGCGTTTTCTACAATTACTTATAACGGAAGCAACTTTTCATGTTTTTTTTAACTTCCACCCAGGGGACCGGTAGTCCAGCTAGTCTATATAAATATAATAGTACTGTCTGCTTTCTGTTGTATGTCCATGTAACTACTTCGCAGGGTGTAGATGGATCTTCATCAAAATTGGTATGGAGGTTCATTACATTCGGCATGTAATGCTGTTTGAATATGGGAAACAATGTCTCTGTTGCCACAAAGAATGTCAAAGAAGTTTATGGAAATGTTTTGAACGTTCGTAAGTGTCAACAATGGTTTAGCAAATTTCGTTCAGGTGACTTTAGCCTTAAAAACTGTGATGGCAGGGGCCGACATGTTGGAATTGATATTGATGCTCTGAAGACACTTGTTAGGTCTAACCCAAGGCAACACACTAGTGAAATGGCCCTGAAATTGCATGTCTCTCATGAAACAATAGGTAAACATCTAAGGAATATGGGAAAATTCCATAAAGAAGGTGTTTGGGAGCCTCATGAACTCCCCGATGATCATCGTTTCCAATGTTTGATTACTGAACAATCTTGCTTGAAATAAGCTTCAACTAAAACACGTTTTTATAGCTAAAATATTTGGTCACAGTTTTCTGTCTAAGTAAAATAAATATCAATTTGAATCAGAGCAGATATACAGAAACTGGCTACAAAGCATCAAAAAGACGAAGTAAAGTCTAAGAAACTATGAACTTCTTCTTAGTTAAAGGCTGGGGCTAAATTTCAATCACTGCTGTTTTAATAGGATCATCCAAGATTTTAACAAGATAAATAAAAAATTGGGAATTTAAAAAACCTGCAAGTAGGGATCACAAAAAAGTAAACAAAGAAGGCTGGGGATACTGTAGGTATTATTTACTCAAACCACAAACCCTATTTTGGCTCCATGCTGTTACCTAGATTCACATTTGATGGAGTCAAAAGCGGGATTTGTAGTTTGAGTAAATAATGACTACAGTATCTCTAGCCTTGTTATCTTACTTTTTACGATCTCCATTTGCAAGTTTTTAAAATCCCAATTTTTTATTTATCTTGTTTATTGGCTTTTTTTATGCTCAACTATGGGCAAAATATTACTCGATACATTGTAATGATAAAAACATAGCTAGTAGCTGGCTGATACAGTTCATGATGATTTACTGTAGCTATTGACTATTTGATCGCATTAGTCCGAGATGTAAAATGTAAAGCTGCAGCTGGAGATCGTCATGAAGTGTTCTTTGAGAATATGTGAGCAGTTATTGTTTCTGTGTAACTAAGTTATCTATATATAATGCTATATATATAACAATAACCAAATATATGCTTAGACTAAGATACAACGCCCACTAAGCACGTATAACATTTTACTAGTAGACATGCGGGCTTCATACTTAGGGATTGGCTTCCTAAAGACATCGATTGTATAGTGTACAAATCATTGAGTATCTACATGTTACAGTCATCTAATGTTCATCTATTACTGGCTGTGAATTCCTGTTTGACCATGTACTTAAGCTTTTTAAAGGAACCCCAGATATATGTAAGAAAGCTAACTTTAAATGATAATGATAACATCGTTTACACTAGAATTATGATGTTTTTCAGCTTATGTAAAATATAGAAGAAACAAATCGACTTTTAAGTACCCCTACGACCTTCACAGTATACTATTTAGTTTTCTACAAAAGGCTTAGGTACAGTATACCAAGCCGTTTTTGTTGTAGACTGGAAGGAGAATAATAATAAGAAGAAGAATTACAAACAGGCGGTTTTCAGCGGAATTTGTTTCCTTGTAACTCTAACATATATGCCTTTTTTGAGCATTTTATGTTTTATTAGGTGTATTTCACTTGTGTCTATATAATGAATTTCACTATTATTCTAACCAACTTGATATTATGTTCTTAAAACACATTGACAAATTGTATCAGCAACTGATTGAGTTTTGGCAATTGTGCATAAACATATAACTGAAGTAACGTTAGCTATACAGCCACTTTCAGTCACTTCTGCTATAGTTAAAAATCAATAACTATTCCAGCTTTCGGTGATTAGACAGAAAACAGTATATGTTTCATTTGTTTCTCTCATCATTGTTTTATTCAGTGTCAAAATATTAAACTGACTCTGTGTACCATCATAAAAAACCACATGTGCATCAGCAGAAACTATGACATCTTCCTCTTTAGACATGCATGCAGTCCACTCTTTTTGTTTTTTGATTGGTTAACATTGGATGACTTTAATATAAACCTATAGCTCATCTATTTCACAGATTATGTTAGCAGTAGGTCTATCTTTAGAATTCAATACTATTCTTCATTCTGTGAGATAGCACTGAAAACCAAGTAGGGTTCTCTGCTTATCCTGCTATTTTCTCCATTAACTAGAATCATGTCTGTATTTAGAGTTTAAAATATCGGTATCTCTTGGACCACCTGATATACCACAAGGTTAGGCAAAGTTCTAGCACTGCCAGTGTCTACCAGAGGTTCAAGCTCATTTCTTTATATTCTTAAGGGTGTATACCAAGCTATTTACAATCAAGTAAAAACTGACCTTACTACTCAATTTTTAGACAAAAGCTTAACACCACATTCTCCCATGCTCATTACTAAATTTCATCTGGGCTTTTTTTATTTTATCAGTATCAGAGTAGTAGCGGCCCTAGCTTGTCATCGACCCCGCTGCACCTGCTTGATAGACAGTCAAGAAGGAACTTACTGTCTCTCCAATCTCACAGTTAATTTGAATATCCACTAGTGCAGATGCATTGCAATACCGAGCAATGCTTGCAACAGGAGAGCTTGGAAGTCAATAATTTTATGCATTATGAAGTGTTGCGATATTAAAAGCATGTTCCTGTGGATGCCGTGTCTTATCTGATGCCATAATCGGCTTCCTTTTTTATTGGCAACTTCAAGTTGCATTGCCTCAGAAATAGCTTCAGTTTGAGACAATATGACTCCAACGCTCTTGTAGTGCTTTAATAGCTCACTTAGCAAATCCGAAAAGAAAATAATAATTCAGAGTCTCATAACAATCATTTTCCCCAGAAATACAGATAATCAATCATCTGCATATTCAACCAACTTTTTCTGAGTGCTATACTTCACAGCTTTAAATTCTACCTGGCAAATAACAGTTTTCTGCTTGCTCGAATCTCTGGTGCACCTCAGTCACAGCTGTGTCCCAGTCATTAAGTTGTTCATCTTCATATTATCTAGAGTTTCAAGTGTTGGAACACCCAACTACGCTTCAAATGTTGACATAAAATCCAAACATTTCATATAAATATTTGCCTGAATCACTTTAAGAAACACCCGATATCTTCTTTAGTGACACCTGCAGCAGTAAAAACAGAAGCCACTGGTTAGAACATCCACCAACTAAGAGCTAATATACCAATACCCTCTTAAGGGAGCTCCAGCTGATTAATTTCAGTCTCCAGCAACATCTCTAATTTCCTATTCACTGGTGGCTCCAATCAATGATGGTCTTCAGGACAGCTGATAAGTATCAATTTTGGGTACTTGTAGAAATTTCCCAAGTTGGTTCATAGAATGGCCAAGTTCAAAGTCGTCATGTGACCTCTAGTCATTAGGTTATTCTCCTTGCTGTGTGCAAAAGTCAAGGAAATAAATCTGAGCAATATCTTGAGGTATCGTGAGCTGCGAATTCACGCTGCCAACTTAGAGGCAGGATATAATAGTACTGTCTGCTTTCTGTTGTATGTCCATGTAACTACTTCGCAGGGTGTGGATGGTTCTTCACCAAAATTGGTATGGAGGTTCACTGGGACCATGGGGAGATACGAGGTCGTCAAGAAATTAATGTCGCGTTTTGCAACACTTTCATTAACCACCCCCCAGAAAGGTACATCACGTATAATAGTTAAACGAACAGCCTAACCTCACATTAGTGTACT